TCACTTCCCACCAGGTGGGACGGGGAGCGCCAGACATTTCTTCGGTGGGGTTAAGTACGCGGCCCCGTTCTTACTCAGAGAGCGGGGAGGCTGCTGCAAGGACAGGTAGACATCCCGGTCGCTTTAAAGATGCGTGCACAAACTCTAACCGGTGACAAAGGCGTTACATTGCACATGGACTTCTTTCTTTCCTGGTCAGGCTTGGGGTTTTTCAAAGTTAGCGATTAGCCTGCAATCACAGTTGCTTCCTGTGATACGCTCTGTGTTTAGTGAATAAGGTATTCTCAATAATTTCTCAATAATGCTTTGCTTTAGTAATCTCCCAAGCTTATGCTTTTCATATATATTAGCGTACTTAACTGCCAGTTTCACATTTTATTTGCCCCTATTGCAGTGGATATTCATTGTATATTTGGATCTACCTGGTAAATTCAGGAACAGAAGAGTTTCCAGTTATCTGTAATTTACTTTAGGCTGTCAGAGCTCTTTAAATGTTTAAGATAGAAATGACTGCTGAGCAGCAAGAGGTTGCAGGGAGTCCAGTTTATATGCTCAAGCATTGAAATTACCATTCCAATATTTTTAAAAGCCTTGTGTGTTATTCGATTATTGAAATTGGCTTTGACAAGTGAAAAAAAAATCCCAGTTTTCATGTGGTGTGTCTGTTACCCCCAAATATGCAATGAATTATGGGAATGACTTGTGACATGTATTGAGGTGAGTAAAGCTCCGTAACACTGTAATGGCAATAAATACTTCCAGTCTCATGTCAACGTCCTTCCATATATACATATCCAGTTTAAGTCGATGGTAATTCAGAACAAATGGAAAATAAGTCTTAATAGTTTTGTGTTGTGCCAGCAATGAAAAGGCTATATAATTAAGTATTCATTTCAGACTGCCTTAAAATAGGGGTGTACACAAAGCTATTATTTTTACGTACTTCCAGAATTTGATTTTACAGTAGCAGTAGCATATTTATGAGCTTTAGCTTTTGTTGTTCAAATGTAATGTAAGAATTCGTGTATTAGTGTTTACTGCATCTTGTGTTAAACAAGGCTTTATCCTTTCCGTATCTGACCTTTGTGAGTATTTCATGATAAATGTGGGTATTAAATAACTTTGCAGAGCAGTCACGTTTCTCTTAGAATTCCTTAGTTTTGTTTCTCCCTCTTCCTCCATTTCATTTTGGTGAGCTTTACTGTTTTTCATGTTTTGTTAGAAGAGAGCAAACTTAACATTTTTTTATGACAGTTAAGCTCACAAGGATGAGTATTTTTCACTTATAACATTAATCTCCATATGCATGTAGCCAAAAAACATTTTATTTTTCAGGGCATCAAGCTGTCAGCAGAGGTCAAACCATTTGTTCCAAAACATGCAGCGGTAACTGTGGCATGGTCAGAACCCTCAGAAGCATGTGTCTTTCCGAGGTACTTAACTACGTGCTACCCATTTGTTCAGGAACCATCTTTGGATAAGTATGTATATTTTTTGAATCTTACTTCTTGGGGGATTTTAACCTTCCAGTTTTGGACATTGCATACTCTTACGAAGTCAAAGCTGTTACATTAGTATTCTAACTGTAGAAATGCTTGTGCATTGTCTTCCTGATGTAGGTTTTTGCGTTTATGTTCACTGGCCATATAGCTGGTACCTTGTTGCTGGCTCCCAAGGGCCGTTATTGTTAGAGAGCCTTAAGGAGGATTTGTTGGTCTGTAATGATTGATCTGGCTCGTTTGTGCTTTGGAAGGAGCCAAATCCAGTCCTTGGGTGAAAGAATGGTAGTGTTATGGCAAGGCTGGGGTAAGTATAGTCATATGAAAGGAAGAGGAAGATTCTCCAAGAAGGTTTCTCATGCTGTGAAACATTTAAATAATTTATAAGGCTCTTTCTGGATCTCCTCTCCACAACCTGTGCACCCCTAGAAAGGCAGTTTTAGTAAGAATGCTACAGGTTTCTAAAAGTTTTTTTTCTAATAAGACCTGAAAAAAAAGGCATTTGTGATAGACTTATGAAAGTATTATTAACCCCGGAGCAAGCTAGAAAAAAGCTTGCATGGTAAAATGGAAAATAACCCAGTCTTATAAGAATCTTGTGGTGTTACATAGTTCTCTAGTTGCTTCTCAGAATTCTAAGCATTGGATTAATTTTGCAATTACTGCAAAGTTATTGGTGCATCCTAACAAGTTCAGTTAGAGCCTCAGTGAACACATTCATTGTAGGCCTTCATTTTATTCTACAGGAAATCTCCATTTTCCACCCATTTTGATTTGTAATAGAAATTTAACATTGAAGTGAGTATGCCCTGATGTATGCATTAGAAAAAACACAGCATTAGCATTAAATCAATTAGTATTAAAAAAAGAAGCCAGCAGACAGCAGCAGTATTCTGATGAATGTTTTGCCTTGTGGGACTGAGCCATAGTTATTTTTTTGACTCTCTTCTGTTACTTCTCCGTGTGTAAACTGTGGTTGTAAGAGTTCTTTTGACTACAGTCTATGAGAATTGCAACAGGCAGGAAGAAATGTGCTACCTGAAGTCTCTTGTTCTGATGAGAAAGTTTCTCTGTCATTATCTACCCAAGATGCAGAGGTAGTCCACTTCATGGTGAACAGCTTTGAAAACTAAATGCAACTTTCTTAAGTTGAGAAATTTCCTGTCTCCCCAATCAAATTTGCATCTTGGCATATAGTTTCTGTACAAACTGTAGGAGGAAATTGGAAGGGAACTTTCGGTATACGTTTGAAGGAAAAAGGCATGCCCCAGACATGTTGTGTTTTCATGAGCTGTGATGGTTAAATGCAGGTCAGTTAACTATTATCTCATAATTCTGTATTGTATTTCATACCTGTCTTATACCCTATAAGATGCGATACTCCTACTTTGTTATTATGGCATTTTAAGACAGGTTTTATTGTTTGTATTACTGCAGTCAAGTATGTAATCTGTGTCATGTAGTTACACTGTGCTTTTGGTTTGTTTCACAAGAAAAAGCCTACCAAAAATAGATCTTGATAACCTTGGACAGAAATGAGGACTATAGCTGCAAAGCAGACTAGATTTGAAACTTGGAAACAGATAACATCTTTTTGTTAAACTGCATGTTTTCCCAAAACAAAATCATTTTTAAAGCAGTCTATAGCAGTGGGTAAATACTTAACTGAAGTCACGTGGAATAGTTTTCTTTTGAAATACAACTTTCTTGTTAAACAAATCCTTCAGCCAAGGAATGGTATGTTTATCTAGGCAACAAGTATATGCTGAAGATATGCCCCGGGATGAGTTCTTATCTCTTTCTCAATGTCCATCACATAGTGTTCTGGGAGATCCTGCCTTCCGTGACTACTCCAGCTGCTCTTACTCACCTGATGTTGTTTCAAATGTATATCCAGTAGCTGGCTCACAATACCATTCTGACAACTCAACACACTATAATGGTTCAGGAATAGTCAGTGAATCTGCTGAGCAAACGCATCCAATCAGACACGAAAGTAAGAATATTTCAAAGGTGAGCAAATACATCTTTTTTTAAAAATTAAAATTAAATTCTTATTTTAAATCAATCTTTCTAAATGTTTGGTTCATTTTTTAAAGTGCATAATCACTCTGTTAAGCAGTGTTTTTGGAACATGAGGGGAATTTTTATCTTTTTTCCTCAGAAAGCAGCATCTGGGAAAAAGACCATTCATTTGTGAACTATGCTTTCTTTTGTTCACTGTTTGGACTTGGAGGGGTGGCAGAGGGGAAGGGCTTTTTTTGAGTCCAGTGGCAGCTTCCATGAACCTGAGTTAAGAGAGACCTGGTGGCTGTAGTCTGCTATGTGGCTGATAAGTGATGAGACCACATGTGTTGTTGAAGGATTTCCAAGACCTGCTACAGGTACAAAACAATCCACAAGAGTGTGGGAACTTGCGTTGATGTGGAGAGAGAAACTTGGACAGTATTTTCAAACAAAGAATAGACAAAATCTGCAAGATATAACAATCAGGGGAAAAATATCAAGTATATTATTAACCCATTTTGTTTGTGGTTAGACATTGTCTCTGTGATTTGTAAGGCTGCTGTTGTTTCCAACAGGTTCAAGTAATCTGTTCTCCAGTCACATCCTTCTAGTGGACCTTACTCCCTAGGCAGAGACCTGGTAACTTCACTGTGGTCAAGCCTGTGTAAAGGAAGTTGTAAGATTAGGTCCTAAGCATGCATTACTAGACATAAGATACAAAGGCTAGACACCTAAATTTAGTAGTTCTCTTGCTGAGGGAAGAATTAAACACTGAAGCTTTCTGGGGAGATGATTAGCTCAGCATTAGCACAAGTGATATAATGTGAAGAAACTTAGTTTAGCTTCTGGGAGTTTTTCTGTGATCTTCGTAGTGGCTTGGACTGAGCTTTGTACTAATTGGCAATCTTTTTGTCACTGTTCCCTGTCAATTTTTTTTTTTTTTTTGTGAGCTTGAAGAGAAATTCTTGATCTTCGTAGCTTTGCATTACTTTATTCACGTCTCTTAAAGCTTTTACAGTTTAGCTTTGGAGGCCAGGAAATGCCTTGTCCTCCCACCCAAGAAAATAATGTTGGTGCCAGATGTACTTTGAATTTAGTCCAGCATCCTATAAGTAATTGTAAGAGTTAAGCCACTTGTCTAGGTTGATACAGTATGCTTTGCATAGATGCAAACCCAGTGCTCGTTCCATGCCTGCTGTACTGATTCTTGAGCCCGACTCTGCCAAACTATGTTTCTTGCAAGAATCACAAGGCTTTCAGGACTTTACAGTACAGGTGAATGTGTTTCCTTTGCTGGGATCATGTAGGTGTATATTTTCTACTTACTTTCTGTCTGCTCCAAGTGTTTTGGATGTTGTGACATCAGTCTTGCATAGTTTTTCTCATAATACGTCGTTTAGTCAGAAGATTGGAATGCTTTTGAGATTTTAGCCCTGTTCTAGAAGAAACTCAGTTCTAGAAAATCAGACTGGATGATTTAAGACCAAACAATTTTAAACTATTGGAAGTGCTCTGATTAATGAGATCTTAAAAGTACAGTTGTCTAGAAAGATACGGAGTGATCCCTCTTGATTGGGCTGTAATATGTGCTAAAAATGGCATAGTTAAGAAGGTAGATAAAATTCAATAATAAATCTCTAACTACATGTTCCTGTTTTTATTGATTATTTGTGGTTATGGTATACTAACTATTTATGTTATATTAACCTGATGGTCAAGCTCTAGATGCAGAGGTAGTTAACTGAGGTTAAGGCAAAAGGTTCAAGTTACAAAGTTCAAGTAAAATCAACTAACTATGTCACAAATACTTACAGCAGAGGAGATCAAAAGAGGGTGAGAAAAAATTAGACAAGAAAAGGCATGATGGGGGTGACATGATTGTGAACAGGACTTCGTTGCAGACCTCTACATGCAGCAGAGATTCCATGAAGCCAGGTACAAATGTTGATTGGTTAGAAATATGTCAAATAGACGTAAAATGGTTGATTGTGCTATAGCCTCCAGTTTGTGACCATGTTTCTAAAATCTAGAATAAGGAACAAGATTTCTTTCCTGTGTGACTTTTTGACAAGGGTTGGTGACTTATGTATTTTTGCTGATTGAACAAATTCATGTAAACTAATATGAAAAATTTCCTAAGCAAGCAGTTAAATTTACAGTTGCTTGTTGAGTCAGTGTTGTGCATACGTATTGTTTATAATTGCTAAGTTGTTTTTTCAGTATGAGCTGTGTAGCACTAGTTCTTGTGATGATTACTGTAGTTATATCAACTAGTGTACTATAAAACATACCTAGAAATGATCACAAGCAAGTTTAATTATTTAGACTTCACATGCTTTATTCAGACAGGTTCAATAAAACTACAAACAAGAAGTCAACTCAAACTACAAAACCAGAGCCTCTTCATGTACCTGCATTTGAAGCTACCATTCTGCATTTCCACAAGTCACAGAGTTTGGGAAGCAGTGAGATATTGAATGTACAGCATAAAAGTGGACCAATATGTTCAGCAGAAAGTAACATTACGTGCCTTAGTCAACCACAGATGTCTTTCTTGTTGAATACAGAGGTTAGCTGTTGCTTTCATGTTGTAGAACTCATAAAAATAAAACTTGTCTAAAGTTCAGGCATTTCTGAAAGCAAGTATTTTGCATTCAGTATAGTAGTTTAAGACCTGTTTAAGTACCTTTCAAGCAAGGAGTTTCAGGGCCAGAGGTTTTATGGTTCTTTTTGTAGATGGTGGTGTCAGTGCTTGCTGTCTCCTCTTTTACCCTTTCTTACTATTCTTTCCTTGTCTGTGCTGCCAGTAGATAGGGGAAAGCCAAGTACTGTTAGAGTATAGATTGGTACTGCTACGGTCTAGGCTTCTGGCTTGCCTATACAGAGCACATATGTTTCTGAGGTTTCTTAACAGCTTCTTGTTTTCTCTCTCACCAGGAAATAATAGGTAAGCAGTCACTTATGCGATAGTTTTAACAGATTAAAAAAAAAATCTGGAATATTGTGCTTAATTGCTTTTTGCTAAAGGATAAAAATAAGAAACTGAATTCCAGAAGGAGGAGAAAATACTGTTAAGATGTAAGCATTTAGCTTTATTCTTCTTGATTTCCTTGGTTCTCTATTTGTTGGTAAATACAATACTCTCACATTCAGCAGTATGTCACATATATTGAATCAGAGTTTTCAACAGTGATTAAAGATGAATAATTTTGAAGGATCCAAACAGCATGATATCTCCAGTGCCTCTTGAGTGGAAAACTGCCTGTGATGGGAAGAAAGACCTTTCTGCTGTTACTTGAGTTTCGTTTTTCATTGCTAGTTTGAGTTTGATGATGGACTTTGTTTTTAATGTACTTGGAACATTAAAACTTTTTCTTGTTCGTTCTTAAAATTGTTGTTTGGATGCTTTTGTAAAATGTAAGAAGGCATCGTCTTGCTTGTGCAGCGGTGGAGAGGCATCTGCTTATATTTTGTAATGCTGTAGGGTCAAAATGATGGTTCCACTAAGAGAAGCAACAGAAAAATCAGGCTGCAAAATTCGCTACACGTTTATATG